GTATATAAAAAAGAATGGAATGGTAGATTGTAGATGTGAGCTTTGAATTGAAATATTTAAACACATAGAAGAAGGAGATTGTGTTCTTGATATTTTTTTATTTGATGTTGTTTAAAGTCTTGTTATGAATTATAAAATCATCAATTATGTGCAAAATATATATTTCTACTTTAATTATAACAAATTTTTGCAGTCCAATTTTAAGTTTGTGAGCTCGATCACTTCATAATGTTAGATATCTGAATTAGACCTAAATTTCTGTGATGTATAATTTCAACTGTTTTTTCTTCATCTTCTAAATCTATTACCCCATTTTTATAACCCTAGCAGGCTGAAAACTAGTAGTATACGCATAGACTTCCTAAATCATTAACAAGCATTTAGCATTATTTATATCATTATGAGATTTTTGTAGCAAACATTTTATGACATGTATTCAGAGCCTTCATGCTTTATAAATAATTAAACGAACGAGTGGTTCAATACTCTCTGCTTTATTACGCCACTGCTGTCATCCATTATGTAATTAATTCCATCTGATTTGAAATTGGGCCTACTTCCATTAATACACAACAAATGCAACTAATCTCTTTAAAAAGTTGAATCTCAATAGATAAAACCAAATTTATATGTATTTCGTGACTGCGCCGACCTTTAAATTGTTGTCAAATCTAATAAACCTATGGGATAGATGATATAATACTAACACACTTTTTCTTGCAACGACTCGTTCTCGGATTCTAGCAGAAATGTTAGTTTTTTACAATCTATTTGAAAATTATCAATTACGGAATGAATGAATGGTATATCGAGATTCTGAAATACCCAAAGAAGTAAATTTTGGATTTCTTAAACATACTAATGGTTGCTGTGGTGGTCATTATGATAATATTTTTTAATGACTGGTGATTTTCAGATGCTTAAAATTCACTGTTGGTAAATCGTCACCACTTGCCTATAGACCTAATAATTTTGTTCAGAAGTAACCGCTGAATTAAAGTCTGTTGCAAATTTGTTATATATTGTACTGATACAATTTTTTTTTTACGCTATTTCCATAAACAGTATATTACCGAGTGTCATTCTATATATAATTAAACAACGACTTTGATCTAAATAATGTGTCGAATTTTTATATCTTGATCCTTCTGCTTTGCAGTCAAATGAAATCATGTACTACTTTTTATTGCGCGGGATTATTATATTATTTATTTTTATTACAAATTGACCAGAAATTTTTTATATGGATTTCAAGGACTTTGCAAATTTAGTATTATTTTGTCGTCAAGCCATTCCTTAACATTTAAGTTATAACTTTTTTTATAACAAGTTTCATGTGATAAATCTTTTAATTTTTAATCAACACGTAAAAAAATATTCATCAAATCAACTTTTCTTTTCATTGACTGAGCCGGCTTCCTTTGTTCCATATGACCTTTCCTAGTGATGGGCAGATCAGTATAGTGTGTATAGTTCTATATAGAACTATATAGTAGCAGATGTAAATCAATTAAATCAATTCCTGTTTAGGTTATTGCCAAATAATAGATGTGATGTTACACATAAAAATTAATTAAATATTATATATGCAGTATTTTAAACTTATCAAAGTGCAATTTGGTAACATTTTAAACACATTGGTAATGTTAATGTCATAAGCAATTACGTTTTGAATGACTGTCTACATTGCAAAAGCTCAACAACATCAATGCGCTAGTTCAGTATCTAGATGTGAAAACCATTTACGGCTTTGTCCAAATGCCACAATTTAAACTAAAGAAATTATTTTGGAGAACATTTTGATACTTCAAATACTAGCATACAGATAAATTACGACATAATTGAAATGCCATCAAAGAAGCTCATTAAACACATGATAAAAAAAAACTCGATAAAAAAACTTACAATAAAACATTATTTTTTTTTCGAATTATTTCTCTATATATTAAATATTTAATATTAATATTAATAAAATACGGCAGGTCATCAAAAATATATTTTTTCTTATTAAATGTGGATCATAAAAATCCTAATCATTGATTGATAAATAATCGTTTGGTAGAAATTCTCTTAAGTTTATTTTATTAAAAAGTAGTTGTTTAAAGAGAACTGTTATATTATTAATATTTTCGAATAAGCATCTAAAGAATATTTTTATTTTTATTTGATTATACATTGTTATGTTATTACAGTAATTGTGTTAATGCTATTAAAAACATACACATTATAATTATACATAAATAATGAAAAATTGATTAATTAAATAGCTGAAATTTTATCACGGCCAATTTGTTTATTGTTTAACTTAATAACGAATTGCTTTCCAATGAGATCTTTAACTTTAGGCCCATTGATAATAAAAGTGCAGTCAAAAATTTTGGCTCTAGGAGGATCAATTACCAAGTTTGAAAAAATATCATTCAGATTACCACCGCCTTCAATGAGAAATTTATAATCACTAATACTCGAGCTCACAAAACCCTTGGAGAACACTGCAGTTATAACTAGGCGTCGATTACTACTGCCAGCGTCAAACGATTCAACAAAAGTGACTACACCTTTGACTTTATCATTGTCACCGAATCTTGCAAAAGCAGCTTTGCCTATATCTGGTGGTGGTGCGCGTTTTTCCAAGGAGTCCACATCGCGTTTTTCTTCGAAAGCTGCTGATGCATAGATAAATGCATTCGAGAAAATCATTATTATTAAAAGAGCAAATGCCAAAGATTTAAAAGATTTTGACAACAATTTTTTTTTTTTGTATATTAAAAATTTTTTATTGTTATTGTTATTGTTATTAAATGTTGAGATGATTTAAGAATGATTTTTTGGAAGGAAAATGTGGATACGTTTTATACGTTTTTAACAAACAGATATTTTAATTGCTAAAAAAATACAAGTTAATTTTATTGGAAGATTACAGTCAAAAGTATTTGGACGCCTATTTTTAATAATCATGCAAAACTCGCATTATGATATTTTAAAAAACCGAGAATAATGATGATCATCTATTAATTATTCAAAAACTCGCATTGTCAAGATGATAGTTCAAGTTTTAATGAATATGCACGTATTTTTAAAGATTTTATTTAAAACCCCCGATACTCGACAAGAATATTTTAATCATTCAAATTTACACAAAAATCCTACAATGAAATTCACATTAAATTATTCAAAAACTCGCATTATCAAATGTAAACTTAAGTTTTAATGGATATGCATGTAAGTTTTGAATTTTTATTACACAAATACTTCATAATGAAAATTTCCAGGCGGACAAATTTCTCTAGGATTATCCTATCTTAATGTTAACAATGACGAGGTAATATAGGATCATCCTATATGGGTTATACACTCCCCTACAAAAAATATCCGACCACTTGTGCTGTGTAACGTCAAATGAAAAAAGTACTTGCTAAATAAAGT